AATAATCGATGACTATTGTTTGTAATATCTGAATGATTTGTTTGGAATAAAATTGATTTGTTTACGATCCGAGTTGAATGTTGCATCTTTCTGAATTTGTATGGGAACTACGTTCTTCGGTATTAGTCGTTTTTAACAATTTTCTCTTTATAGACGCAACAGATAGAAGCAAGATTAGTAGCGATCAAAAGCCCTTTTTTTATTGCCTTAAGCCTATACCCCCTTTCATTTTTCGCTAACACTCCCTTTAAAAGCCTGAAGCTGTATTCCTGTGCCCAAGTTTAGTAAAATCTTTAATCCTCAGATAGAAATATGCGATTAAACACTTTATAAAGTTTTGAAGATTCTTTGTTGCAGGGTTTCTTCGATATCCCTGTAGATAATCTGTATGCTGAACCTGCAGTTCTTAAATGGATAAAGGAGAATATAGAGGAGTGGAGGAATGCTATTATTGTAAGGTTAGTTTATCAGCTTTCAAACATTTCATATTTTTCATATTTTTTCAGTTTTTAAAATTAAAAACATTGATATCTAATTCTTACTTTCTTGTGAATTGTGACACATTGTTGATCCGACAAGGCTTTAAAGGGGACCGTTGTGAATCGGACATTGTCATCTTTTCACCTAGTATCACTTGAAATTGCGCTTATAGTCCTTTGAATACGAAAAGTTTATCCACAGTTTAATTTTGACGTAGGATTGTAAATTTATACATTTGATAATATTGTGAGTTAAACTAAGGACAACCAGAAAACCAGTTTAATTATAAGCAATAACATGAAAAATAAACAAGATCGATATTCCCGAGCAGGACTGGAGGACAGGCCCGAAGAAATTGCTGTTTTCGAAATGTTGTTTGTCTACAATAAAACTAGTTCTAGCGTTTCCTTGCTACGTCACAGCATAATGTAAACAAGTCCGGCCCCCCTCTATATATGTCTTAAGAAATTTAATTGATTCAGCTAGGGAGTTGAACAATTTTAAAAGAGGAAAATTTAAGTTTTGTAAAATTTTAGGATCTTAATATTGGCGGCTGGTCCTAATTATTCAATCTTAGTCCCGATGCGGGTGGTGCAAAGCGTGTGACATCTATTGCTGATCGTTTAAACGTGGAGTTCGCCCTGATCCACAAGGAGAGGAAGAAGGCCAACGAGGTGGACAGTATGGTGCTGGTTGGAGATACTAGGGTAAGACAATAATTTAATTTAGATTAACGATAACCTTTTTCCAACAAAATTTTAATAAGAGAAGTGATCTCTCCCATAAAGAGTAGCATTTAAAAGAAATCTCTGAAGACTTTGTTTACTTCTGTATTACTTTAGATCTGGCTGAGATGATGTTTGATTAGTGAACAATATTTGTATATTACAGGGCAAGGTTGCAATCCTGGTTGACGATATGGCGGATACATGTGGAACTATCTGTCTAGCCGCAGAGAAGTAAGTTTATTTTTTGATCATTTAGGTTCATATTCAATAGTCATAGGTCTGGAAGGCTTGGTTTCCTCAATGTATAAAAGTTGATAAGAAAAAATATTTCTTAATTCATTCTTTCATTTTTTGCACTAAATAGTAAATATATATAAACTTGCATAAAACTAACCACTCCAAATAAAATTTGATACTCCAGTTTGTCTGGACTGCATTAGAGAAGAAAAAGTCGAGATTTAATGGCATTAATACAGAGGGACCCATAAAATTGTGGAATAGAAAGAGGACTGTTAGTCTCCACTTATGATTTAAATATCCCAATGAACATTGAAGACAGCAATTGTGCAGACTCATACATATTTCACTTAATGTTGACCTACTGATAATACTACCAAAATACACATCAGATTCTTCCTATTCTATAGTCTTTTGGCTCCCAGTGTTAATGTTGACCTACTGATAATACTACCAAAATACATATCAGATTCTTCCTATTCTATATTCTATTTACATGTTCGCAGAGGACAGAACATCATTGTGAAATGCCTATACGACATACGCAGTGAAAAGTTTTTTCGATTAAGTGCTAATACGTGGTATTTCTGATGTCAGACCACAAGAGGTACGGATTAGTGGTTACAAAAGTTCTGACCCCATGACATCTGAATTCGCGTGCCTAATCCCATTTCTAGTTAATTTTATTTCAAGTTTAATTCTGTACTTAGGTTAGTTGAGGCTGGAGCTGTGAAGGTTTACGCAATCCTAACCCATGGGATATTCTCGGGTTCAGCTCTAAACAGGATTAACAACTCATGCTTCGAGGTATACTGGGATACATGGGTACAATGATATACCAGGGAACAATGATATACTAGGGTACAATGATATACCAGTGAACAATGATATACCAGGGTACAAGGTGTACAAGGCACTTAATAAACCGGGATATATGGAGACCTGGATACTAAAGGATACCAAGATTTAAGGAAACCATGACAAAAGATACAAAGATACAGGACACAAGGATACAGGACACAAGGATAGAGGACACAAGGATACAGGACACAAGGATACAGGACACAAGGATACAAGACACAAGGATACAAGACAAAAGGATACAGGACACAAGGATACAAGACACAAGGATACAAGACACAATGATACCAGACACAAGGATACAAGACACAAGGATACAGGACACAAGGATACAGGACACAAGGATACAGGACACAAGGATACAAGACACAAGGATACAAGACACAAGGATACAAGACACAAGGATACAAGACACAAGGATACAAGACACAAGGATACAAGACACAAGGATACAAGACACAAGGATACAAGACACAAGGATACAAGACACAAGGATACAAGACACAAGGATACAAGACACAAGGATACAAGACACAAGGATACAAGACACAAGGATACAAGACACAAGGATACAAGACACAAGGATACAAGACACAAGGATACAAGACACAAGGATACAAGACACAAGGATACAAGACACAAGGATACAAGACACAAGGATACAAGACACAAGGATACAAGACACAAGGATACAAGACACAAGGATACAAGACACAAGGATACAAGACACAAGGATACAAGACACAAGGATACAAGACACAAGGATACAAGACACAAGGATACAAGACACAAGGATACAAGACACAAGGATACAAGACACAAGGATACAAGACACAAGGATACAAGACACAAGGATACAAGACACAAGGATACAAGACACAAGGATACAGGACACAAGGATACAGGACACAAGGATACAGGACACAAGGATACAGGACACAAGGATAGAGGACACAAGGATAGAGGACACAAGGATAGAGGACACAAGGATAGAGGACACAAGGATAGAGGACACAAGGATAGAGGACACAAGGATAGAGGACACAAGGATAGAGGACACAAGGATAGAGGACACAAGGATAGAGGACACAAGGATAGAGGACACAAGGATAGAGGACACAAGGATAGAGGACACAAGGATAGAGGACACAAGGATAGAGGACACAAGGATAGAGGACACAAGGATACAGGACACTAGGATAGAGGACACTAGGATAGAGGACACTAGGATAGAGGACACATGGATAGAGGAAGGATAGAGGACACAAGGATAGAGGACACAAGGATAGAGGACACAAGGATAGAGGACACAAGGATAGAGGACACAAGGATAGAGGACACTTAAGGATAGAGGACACTTAAGGATACAGGACCCTACAGGATACACGACACTAGGATTCCAAAAGAGTGAGCGCAAGGATCAAAAGACACTAGAATACAGGACACAAGGGTTAAAAAGACCCTATGCATACATGAAAAGATGTAAAGATTCAAACTTTATTTAATACCATATTGTTTTTTCTAGACTTATTTATTTAAGAATTGACAGGAAGAAAAGTTTTCAGATATATCAGCTCTTGCATTGATCAAACTTATCATTTTATCATGATACAACTTAAACCTTAACTTTTATACATTGTTAAGAGGTTCAGTCCAAGATATTCAATGAAAATTAACTCACATTTTCTTCAAAAAGACGGTTGTTAGTTTTTATGAATTGAAATAAATCTAGTTTTGCTTTAAAATACTAGTTTCAAGTTTAATTGGTTAGAATGGAAAATTACTGTAATGTTGAAACTGCAGAATCAAAAGAATTATAAATCTACAGGGGTTTATATATATTCCAGAGTTTTAAATGCAAGAAAACTGGGTTGGGTCTGGATAAAGACGGGAAATTATTGTGTTGAACTTAAAGAAGTTTTAATATAAATGAATTAATATTTAGGCTGTGGTTGTTACGAACACAATGCCAATGGAAGAACATTTGCGGGGTTCAGAGAAGTTACGGATTATCGATATCTCCATGATGTTTGCTGAGGCCGTTAGGAGGACGCACAATGGAGAATCCGTTTCATATCTTTTCAGTAACGTGCCCTACTAAGAACCACGTCCTTCAGTAACGTGCCCTACTAAGAACCACGTTCTTCAGTAATGTGCCCTACTGAGAACAACGTCCTTCAGTAACGTGCCCTACTGAGAACCACGTTCTTCAGTAATGTGCCCTACTGAGAACAACGTCCTTCAGTAACGTGCCCCACTGAGAACAACGTCCATCAAACTCGTTGACTTATACAAATGATGTTCTGTGGGAACATATAGCACTGTTTTTAAACATTAATTTAGTTAGGCAGTTAATTTTTAATCATAACTTATAAATTCGATTAAATACCCTCCTTTCGTATCCAGATTTATACTGCGCTACTCCCTCTTAAACAGAAACGTGTCCAATCTCAAAGAGAACTTATCAAAGACTAGTAATTTTAATTGTCGTTTCTATTTATGGGAATAGAATTTTGTCCTCATATATTCTGTAATTTTTCAAAATCAATTTTCCTTATTGATTTCATTCAACTAAATTAAACGTTCTGTTTTAACTGTCAAATGGTCTTGACTCTGAAATAAACAAAATATTTGCGTCCAATTTTTATAAAGTAATCCATGTAACTGACTTTAGGTCTTCGGATCCATGCATGGCCATTTTTCAAAATATTATTCAAAAACAAAAAACTGAAAAAAGTATTCTTAGCGTTAACTTTGAAGAAGCAAGCTAAAATATTTGTAACAGTTTACAGTATAATTAATACGTTTAGATCTTTCATATTTAGATATGGTGATATCTGGATACTAGAGCATGTAATATGTATTTATATTAAATATATTTTTTAGTAAAATTGAATATTTGTAGTTTTAATACTTATCTAAAGGGTTTAATTTTTGTTAAACGATAAAAATTAAAGATCAGAAAAAAATTAACTAAAAATCATCGGAAGGTATTCATAAGAGCGTGGGGAAAGAATAAAATAGTGATCTGTGCACGTATTGGAGAAATTAAGTATTATCCAGTGGCGTAAATAAGGGGGGTTATTGGGGGTAATTAACCCCCCTAGAATCTTGGAGGTAATTCCCCCTGAACTATTCAGGCCCTGAATAGCGAGTTGTTACTTTGTTTTTGTTTTAAAAAAGGTTGATTTTAAAATTGAATATATTTTAAATTTGCACGAAAATATTTTAAATGTGCAGATATTTCAAGTCAACATATTCTAAATGATTCTAAATTCTAAAGTAATAGTCTATGTCATTACAATTAGATGTTTTTTTTGACAGAAAAAAAGGGTATGGGGGATGAAAAATACGTTTTGTACTTCTAAATAATGTCATTTCCATTTTAGATTTATTTAAGATCTTAACATCAATGACAAGAAAATTTTAGAAATAAGAATATAAACGACAATATTTTTTCAAAGTTTTGCAGAGTAGCTTTTCTAAAGATTTAAAGTCAAACTATTTTTTATCTTACTTAAATTAAGATTTTTTACAGATCTTTGTAGTTAATGTCAAATTTTTGGTTGAACTCGCAATATTCAAGGGAAATGGTTTGTATGTCAAGAACTAAAAATTTCGATTTATTATAAATTTTCCTCTTTAAAGTTAGAACCTCTACGGATTTGACAATTTTTCAGTAACTTATCCCTTCATTAAAATATAACAGAAAACTAAACAAGGTTAGAAAGATTCCTTAAGAGCAAAACTGTGTAAACTATTGTTAGAGCTCAACTTTTCTTCTACCTATATCTTAGCAACCTGATTGTGTAAACCTTTCATATTTCAAACTTAAACTATTTGATATAATTTGAAATATCAGAGTTTGTAACTAAGACTTAATTCCTATACGGAAAAAGTGAATAAATGAAAGCTAAAATTAATATTCTTCAACTGCATATATGTGATAATTTTCCATTTTCTTACACGATTACTTGACTTACATTAAATTAAAACCCGTTTACAAATCTAATAAAAATATAATAGAAATTTATTTTACATATAGTTTTAAATATATTCTATATAGGTTTAACAAGTATAATTAGCATATCACAATAATAATATTATTAAGGGTTCGTCATACATTAAATTAAGTTTGTGTGATCAGGAATTACAGAAGTTATCAAACTGGAGACAAAAGTAAATGCAACCATTAATATATGAGGTTTAGGTTCAATATTAGTCTCATCCAGGTTATCTTCAGCTCCTCCCTCATCCGGAGATAACTCGTCCTGTCCTTCATTTAACTGTGGGTTCACATTGTTCTCCTGGTTATTATTAACCTCCTGATTAACTCTGTTTCTCCCCTGTAGGATAAAGATTAAACCCATACCGCCCACCACAAACAGGAGACGGAAGAAGTTACTGTGCGCGTATATTACGCAAAGTAGGATGATAACACGGATAATTGCGTAAGCGTAGTCAAGTACATCATTGTTTCCAGGTTCAACTTCTTCTCCGGGTTGTCCAGGTAGCTGGGGAACCTCCGCAGGAGGATGAGGAGGGGGGTTTAAAAGTTCTCGTCTCTCCTCTGGTTCGGAAGGATGTATAGTAGGTGTTGTATTGTACTGTGTGTACAGAGCTATGTACTGGTTGTATAGTTCTTGGATAGTATTTACTTCAGTCTGAGTCAGATTACCCTGGGTTCCTGCCAATGAATCAAGAGTTCTACGGATAGAATCAAGTTCAACTAGCTCCGGAGTAACAGGTTCAAGTACAGGTTGGGATGAAAGCTCACTGGTCAGATCCAAAGGTTGGCTTCGGTTTCTCACCCCATCCTGTAGACTAGAAGTAGGAAGACTAGAAGGTGTATTTGAAGAAGGAGCAAGCTTACAAACCAAGTGGATTGTGAACAAGGAACACTCATCTTCAAACCTCAAGAACTCTCGTAGTAGTTGATTATCCTGGAGAAGTTTCCCTGAGTAGACTAGTTTCTGTTCTCCAGGGGCAGGACGGGACTCATACTTCTCTTGGATCTTCTCCTTTAGGTGGAGTACGTTCTTGTTTATGTCACAGGTTATATGTAGATCGGGGGATACAGAACTAGGACTTTTTATCCTAATGTTGACCTCCTCCATTTTGTTTTTTGTTGTGTTTTGATGTGACCTTCAAACCTAACTACACAGTTAGTACTGAACTTTTACTAAATGCGTAGAAAGTATATCAGATGATAAAACTTGATTTTTGACTTCTTCACGCTTGTACAGAGTTAATTCTTATTTCTCCATTGAAGGATATTTGTTTACTGAAGTTCTTCAGAATTTTGATTCCAGCCAGGTTCTGATGTAACACGTATTTTCTGGATTAAAATTTCATCAGAGTCTGTTTACTTCGCAACAAATTGACAGGGTTTAGGTTAGTGAGTGTAGGCCTGAACGTGGACCAATCACAGAGCTTGGCAGGAATATTTCAACCAATCAGGGTTCAGTATTTAGACCAAGCAATAGCTAGACAAGGGGATTTAGGAATTATACGATATCAGCGACGACCTTTCACGAACGTATTTAACTACAGGGTGTCCCACGAAACATGACATTTAATAAACAATTTTTTTTAGTTAAACAAATCTTTTGCTTGATTATATTTTACTTTGAAATCAATTTTAATATATTAAAATTGATTTCAAAGTAAAAAATAATGAAGCAAAAGGATGTTTTAACTAAAAATAACGATTTATTAAATGTCATGTTTCGTGGGACGCCCTGTAAGTTCATCATTGTTTTCTTTATTCCGTATCAGATATATTTATATCTTTTATTTTCGTCCTATACGTTGTTGTTACTCCAGCTTCTTCGTAAAATTTCTTTGCTGAAGGAATTGAGTCTTTGCCACAAACTCCGATTTTCTAACCACTATACCTTGGCAACCCAATGTCATAGACCTTATATTTTTCAAACTGTGCGAATTATGATTGATCAAATAATATGAGCATTGAATGTTATATTTTGAAGAAAGTTTTTAAAATGTTTTAAATATTTTAATTTAGTTGTGATGTTCGATATTAGATAGAAAACATGATATTTTTTATCAGGGTTTAATTTATACAATTATACCCTCCAGAACACTTCTAGAGAAACCAACGTGAAAAATCGTGCATAAGTAAAATATTTATTTCATCTCTTGACATGTCAAACTACAGTAAGATTGGAATCTTGTTTGTTTTTAATCATAACTCCTCTTAAATTGAAGATGCAACTGAGAAGAACAATATTGTATAGAATGTTTCTCTCCTACCTGTGCGTAAAATGAAAACTAGAGGAGCTATGAGTTATAAGAAACTCGTAACATGCTGATGTCGCATTATACATATTACCTTCACCTTTCGTCTAGTATGCAGTTCTTTCTGAAAGTAGAATTAGGAAGATGGCCAACGGGGAGGGATTTAAAAAAGGTCGATATGAACACTGAACAGGTTTCACTTCAATCGTAGTATTTCATTTTATTTTCTATTGCCTTTAAACCTCCCCACGTACGGCCCTGACAGTGTTCTTTAGTTTCTCCAGATATCCAGGATGATGCCTCCGGCCCAACCTTCCAGAAAATCATAACTTGTTAAAATCTTGATGAGTTGACTTTAGATCCGTGGTTTAGATGATGAACTCCAAGGTTTAGATTATAAAAATCTATGTTTAGATAGTAAACTCCATGTTTCAGGTAAAAAACTACATGGTTTAAATGAAAAACTCCATGGTTTAAATGATAAACACCATGGTTTAGATGGAACACTTCATAGTTTAGATGGATACTCTCTCTATTTAAATGATAGATGAAAAACTTCATGGTTTAGATGATCAACACCATGGTTTAAATGAAAAACTTCATGGCTTAGATGAATACTCTATGCATTAAATAGAAAACTCAATGGTTTAAATGATAACACCATGGTTTAGATGAAAAACTCCATGGTTTAAATGATAAACACCATGGTTTAGATGAAAAACTTCATGGTTTAAATGATAAACACCATGGTTTATATGATAAACACCATGGCTTAGATGAAAAACTTCATGGTTTAGATGATAAACAATATGGTTTATATGATAAACACCATGGTTTAGTTGAAAAACTACATGGTTTAAATGATAAACACCATGGTTTATATGATTAACACCATGGTTTAGATGAAAAACTTCATAGGTTAGATGATAAACACCATGGTTTATATGATAAACACCATGGTTTAGATGAAAAACTTCATAGTTTAGATGATAAACACCATTGTTAACCATTAATTTAAAACCTCTATAAAATGTCGTCTTCAACTTGAATCTCCTGTTGGAGACAGCCAAACCAAATTTTCAGCCCGCAATTCCCTTTGTCCTCCTCCGACGGAGCTTAAAATATTTTCGTTGTTGTGAAATCATTAAAGTTAAGCAAAATATTTTCATAAGAAGCATTAGTGAATTTTCATGACCTATAATTTATGTTATTTTTTAGGAAATAAAGATTTTGTTATCGAATTTCTGAGACGGGGTTACTCTGTTGTGTGTATTTTGTGCGGCCTATCGGGAAAGAATCGTCTGGGGAAAATAAACATCCCCCACCAGAACCCTAACTGGCCTATTATCCTGATTTGTCTAGCGTGTTGCTGTTTTCCGTCAACAACCATGGTTTATATGATAAACACCATGGTTTAGATGAAAAACTTCATGGTTTAGATGATAAACACCATGGTTTATATGATAAACACCATGGTTTAGATGAATACTCTATGCATTGAATAGAAAACTCCATGGCTTAGATGAAAAACACCATGGTTTAGATGAAAAACTTCATGGTTTAGATGAATACTCTATGCATAGAATAGAAAACTCAATGGTTTAGATGAGAAATTCCTTGGTTTAAAAGAAAACACCACGGTTAAGATAAAAAAAATCCATGGTTCAAACGAAAAAACTCATTGGTTTGAAGGAAAAACTTCGTGGTTTAAATAAAAACGCCATGGTTCAGATGACAAACTCTAAGGTTCGATTGACAAACTTCAGGATTTAATTTAAAAAAACTTGGATGTGTTGATTTTAGTTTTGTGAAAAATTTAACTTTTGAACAGGATTTACAAAAAAAAACATTCTTTCACTTTTCAATTCTTTCAAATTTTTGCTGCTCTTTAACTCTGATCCCAGAGTTTCCCCAAACAAATTTAGAAAATAAACTTCAAGGTGTAGATGAAATATGCCATGATTAGGATGTTTAAGTCAAAGGTTCAAGCGATAAAGTCGATGGTTTAGATGATTAACTCTATAGTTTAGATCATAAACTCCATAGTTTAGGTGATAAACACCATAGTTCAGGTGATAAACTCCATGGTTTAGGGGGATAAACTACCTGGTTTGAATGAAATTGCATTGTTTTAGTGATTAACTCCAAGGTTCAGATGATAAACTCCATGGTTCAGGGAATGAACTCTAATTAAATCAAGTGAAATCCATTCCATCTTTGGGATTCTTGGTAGGTATGTCTTGAATATGGTGTTCTCTGAACGTGACTTGATGTAGTTTATCACCTGAATCATGCAGTCAATCATTTAAACCTAGAAGTTTATCATCTAAGCCTAGAAGTTTATCATCTGAACATAGAAGTTTATCATCTGAACCTAGAAGTTTATCATCTGAACCTAGAATTTTATCATCTGAACATAGAATTTTATCATCTGAACCTAGAATTTTATCATCTGAACCTAGAAGTTTATCATCTGAACCTAAAAACACAACAGGCACTTCTGATATATTACTGTTAACAATTCTGCATTAAAAGGAAGATACAAATTTAATAAGTTTCATCAAATGTTTCATAAAATACAGATAATGTGTGCATAAATTGTTTTTTTTTCTCCTTGAAATCTAATTTTTTGTTAGCTTGGCGCAGAAACTGCCATTCAGAGTCGTTTCAGGTGAAATATCAAGTTTTATGACACCCCCAAGTACTGCAAAAATAATAAGGGTTGTACTTTTATATGTTTGTCCTAAAACAGTCGTGTGCGATCATATTGAACTTTCAGGTATCTGTCAAATCAGGACTGAAACCTGAATTTCTACAAATCTTAAATGTGGATTTTCATAGGATTCCCTCGGTCCTGGATTTTGACATTTTACATTTTGAACTCAGGTTGACCTTTTCCTTAGTAAAGAATTAATTTCAAGTCTGAGCACAAACTTCATGTCTTGAACGGGTTAAGCCTCACTGGCACTGTGCTACCGAAGACATAGAACTTGGTTTGGACACACTTATGAAGTAACAAAGAAAGAAACAGAGATGAGTTATTTTTAGAACAAACTTTTAAAATGTATATTCCCTTTTCAATTTCCAAACAGGAATGGGCAATAATTCCCGGGACTCTTCTTAAATTACAAAAAAGTTGTAAAAATGGGATACCTGCCAATGGCAAGGGGGTCCAACATTAAAGTTGTGGTGCTAATTTGTTTGAAGAAATATATGAATGTATATGAAATAAAGTTTTGATAATGTACGTCAGGGGAGGGGGGAAGATTTGGAAACAACACGGAAACAGATCAAAAATTATTTTTGAGGATTTTCCGTTTTTCTTAGAAAATTGGGGAAATCCCTCAAAAGTTCAGAATTGTTGAGGGATTTCCGAATACTTTGTATACGTTTTCCAATATTTACAGTTGAATGGTTTCCTCTTTTTATGATCAATTTCCTCATATTTTTAGGTCCGTTTCCTCATTTTTTTTGATCCGTTTCCGATTTTTTGAAAACTTTTAAAATCTCAATTTGTTGATCGGTTTCCTCAAATTTTAGGTCCGTTTCCTCATATTTTTGATCTGGTTCAGCTTTTTCAAAAACTTTAAAATCATCTTTTTTTGTATCTGCAGGGGCGTACCGAGAGCATATATGCTCTCGGTACGCCCCTGTTGCAACTTTCTTTCTACCCACTACAACTTCGTTTCAACTTACTACAACTTGCTCTCGACCTACTGCAACTTCCTTTCCACCTACTGCAACTTCCGTTCCACCTACTGCAACTTCCTTTCCACCTACTGCAACTTCCTTTCCACCTACTGCAACTTCCTTTCTACCTACTTCAACTAAGTTTAAACCTACTGCAACTTCTTTTCCACCTACTTCAACTTCCTTTCCACCTACTGCAACTTTCTTTCCACCTACTGCAACTTCCTTTCTACCTACTGCAACTTCCTTTCTACCTACTTCAACTAAGTTTAAACCTACTACAACTTCCTTTCGACCTACTACAACTTCCCTTCGACCTACTACAACTTCCCTTCGACCTACTACAATTTCCTTTTGACCTACTACGCCTTCCTTTCAACCAATAATAAAAGTGCAAATCATATACAACCACAGGAAACCTACAATCATACATTGTACTATTTT